CTCAGCAGTATTCGTTCTTTCGCAAATGAGCAAGCAAGTGAAGAATGTTCTTCTTTTCTGCTCTGCTAGCCAGGAGCCTGTTTCGCATGCTGCTTGTGGTACCTTCTGTTTTCCTCGCGCAGTAGTATTGCTGTGTCCCAAAGAAAGGGAAACATTAAATGCCAGGAGAAAAAACTTCGGTGCAGGAAAGGATTTTAGTGAAACTAAACACAAATCCTCCATGAAAGGAGGAAAGGCTGTAGCCTCAATGAGATCAGATGGCAAAGTGATACCAAAACTGCCTTTCATGTTCTGTTGGTGTTCCTCTGCTTTTGACTAACAATCTGATGCAGAAGATTGTGCTACAGCAGTAACATCTGCAGGCTCCAACTGTACTTTGCAGACAGCTGGAACAGACTTGCTGGTCTTCATAGCCTGCAGTCTTGTCAGTCCATCCTGCAGCCTTACCAGTTTTCCCAAGCAAAGCAGAGCTGGGCAACAACCTCCCTGAGGTGGAGGAGTCTCAGAGCACAGGCACCTTGAGTCTGTATGGAGGCATGGAAAAGAAAGTTGCCTGACCTTTCTATTGCTACCATTTTGCTGAAGGTGTGGACAACTTTTATTCTAAAAGAAAGGAAGCCATGTTACAAAGATACTTAATAAATTTCATGAACAAGTATCTGAAAAACATTTTTTCCTATTCAGAAGAAATTAATAAAGTGATTTGTCATTTTGATACTGAAATTTTCTACACTTCCTATTTACGTTGAAAGTATGGTGCATTCATGTAACTTTTTTGGACCTGACTCTATAGACCTAAAACACGTATTGAAGTTGGGAAAAACTTCCTTTGTAATCAAGTTCATATTTTTGTTTGAATAAAAAAAATCTTGACACTTTTATGTGTTTTGATTACTGTTATTGGTTTCCTATCACACAGAATTAATTTTTGCTATTTTTGAGCCCAAGGATTTAAAAAAAAACAGTAGCAGAAAGCATACAAATGCATTTTTAGGCACTATATTGAACTTTCAGCCTATAAATTACTAGAAGCAGCATAAAGGGCTATTAAAAACCAGCACTTTGGTCTTGATCAGTTCCTCAGTTTGCAGCAAGAGATATTTAGGTAGGATGGACACCTGCTCTACAGCAAGCAAATGCAAAGTACATGCCCTGAATCATGCCACAAAATACATGCTACAGGTGCTATGTTATGGAAACAGTTTCCATAGAGAATTAAAAAAAGTGACTGATGGAATAACATGGTTTCAGCATGGCAAATTAGGAATAATTAATGCTTTTGGAGCACTATAGAAATATGGGCAGGAGGATGTTTTTATCAAAGCTGGATCCAGGCAGTAGATATGGGACGAGGAGCATTGGGATGGTGGGAGTCAGTAACAATTCAATTCCAGTGGCACATCAAACACTCTTTGCCCAGTTTTTTGAAAGCTGTCCCAGAAGCATCCTTAGTCAGCTTTTGAAAAGTCCTGGAATCAGAATGCAGATGGTATGAAAAACATTGCCAATGTCTTTCCTATATGATAAATATTTTGTTAGTGTGTTCTGCACTTGGACGAATGGATGGTTCTAATGTTGGAGGCCAAGGAAGTTTTATTATGGAAGAGCAGAAAATTCTGCGTGTTTTCACAGCTAGCTCTCCAAAATGAATAAATTCCTCAGAAATTTCTGTTTTCCCTGGAGTTCATTTGCACAAATGAAAATAGAGAAATGATGTTTTAAAAAGCAACCTATCTAAATTAATACAGAGAATAAATTAACATAGTTCGTATGATCTCTCTCAAAACCAAGAACTCAATCAAAAACATGTAATATCTAAGCATGTACTTGAATAATTTTATGGTATATAATATTTACAAGTAAGCTTATTATTATGAATTAGTCGACAGTGTTGCATTGTGCCAACTCAATTGCATCCTTTTAGTCACCTAGCTAACTTTAGAGTCTATTAATCTTTAGCCAGGTCTGCAGTCCTGCCATCAGTGGATTACATATATACATTTTGCTGATAAAAACCTCTATTATGCATAAAGCTAGAAAGTCAAAACCTGTGCTGTTCCCAATTTGTATTTTTTATTCATATAGGCACTCTGCTGGCAGCAGTGTGATTTGACAGTGTAATTGCAATAGCATCCTTTCCTGGCTGAGCTACCCAGGTGATAAATTACACTTCATCACATCCATCTATGTATGAGATGATAGCTATGCTTGTTGATTTGATACCTGCTTGTATGCATTGGTTCTTTAGAGGTCTGTATCTGCTGAGATCATTCAGGTAGACTGACGTCTAGCCCAGCAGGGAATTCAGTGTGAGGGAAACCTCTCTGGCAAGAAGCACTATAGGTCAGAATCAATTTTAGCTCTCCTTACCAAAGAAAAACAACCCATCCTGCAGAGTCAAACGTACTGCACCAGTCTGAGCCTCCACCCAGAAATCTGGCAATCTAAATTATGCTCTCTTATTGAGCAGTACTTCCCTCCGCAGGAACAATGAATCAAACCAAAGGGCATAAATAAATAAATCTTTACACTTCCCTGTTCTTTCTACCTCCCAATTAATCATACGTCATTTTGGAAAACCTAAGTAATCCACAGCCGGAGGCAAAACTGCTATCACGGAGTGTGTTTGCAGCATCACACTGTCCTCCAGGAACTGGGGGTGACGGCTGTGGTGGCTTCCTGTTTCCATTGTGCCCCCGCACTCCACAGGAGCAGGGTGCCCAGGTCGCTCAGGTCACCTGCTCTGGTCCTGATCCCCGCATGTGTTCTGCCGCCCGGAGCTCAGCCACTGGTTTTGCCGTTAGTCGCTGCTACTGCTGCCGCTGTGAGCTTTGCCTGCTGTGCTGGCAGCCAGCTTCCTGACTACTCCCTTCTCTGATCTCTCCAGCTACTGCACAGCCAGCCCTGCCGTGTTTCTGATCCTTTACAGAAAGGGCAGTGGTGCAGGCATCCACGCAGAGCCCCAGCCACGCAGAACAGTCTTACTGAATTAAGTCTTTTTTCTTTCCTAAGGGAAGAAAAAAAGAAGAAATAATCTGCTTGGAATCTTTTTCCCCACATAGACACATTTTTCCACTTCTCAGGACCAGAGCAGTTATTAGGACCGCTATTTACCCCAGGATAATTACTGAATTTTTTGCAAATGTGTTTTTGCATATAGTTTTCTACAATTTTTAACTTAGTGGGTTTTAACACAAAGGTCCAAAATGCTGGAAAATAAATGTTCATTTAAACCTGATAAAGCCTAATTCATTGTTCCCTTCCCTCACTAGCAGATGCCAAGAGATGATGTTTCTTTTCTAGGCTGTGGAGAAGTGTCATTGTCCACAGCAGTTCTTGGGAAAGGGCTGCTTTTCAGACCATCTGCTGTCACAGGGGAAACTGGCTGATTTTGTCCGAGCTCCTGTTGCTGCATGAAGAGTTTTGAGTTGTGAAATGCCTGGTTTGCACTTCCATGACAGGAGTTTCTAAAGTTACTGGGTTTTGAGTTCTCGTGCTAGGCTCTCTCTACACAAGGTCCAGAGGTGAGGAATTATCACCAAATAGATCAAGTTTCTAGCCTGAAAGGAAGTTCTGAATTTACCGCAGAAGGCCTGCTGGTACAGGATTTCTGGTACCATTTCACAGAGCATCAAATAGTCCCGATAAGCTTCAGATAAGTACTCTACATTTCAGATGCTTATCTTTAACTCCCAATCTTTTGAAGTTTGCCCCTCACACATTTCAAATCTATGTCCTTTAAACAGAGTTTGTTCTAAATGAGATAATTAAAATTTCTTTGTGTCTTCTTAGAGAACCCATGTGTTCATTCTTGGTCCCCAGAGGGAAGACTAAATTAACCCTGCTGTCATTTCTTGAAGTATTACCAAATGACATTATTTATACTAGATTTAGCCGTAAGCCCCTGCTTCCAGGGGCAGCGTGTCCTGGAATAGTGCAAAAGGATGTTTTCCTTTCTTTTCAGTCTTTGAGGCATGAGTAACATAGATACATCTTTCCTTTAGGATCTCAGAGGACAATTGCTACTGACAAGAAGTTTGTAGGCCAAAATAATGCAAAGATATTTATTTAAATGTCTTTTTCAAAAGGGCAAAGGATAGCAGATCAAAGATATTTTCACCAAAAGTTTTCTTTATCAGTGGAGGTTCTCTGGCTCTTCATTACCTACAGCATTCTTGTCCCCACCACAACCAACCACCCCACCCTTCTTCTGATACGTAGAAAGCAGTTCCTTCCAATGCTCTGAAACATAGAGGTCTCTCTGTCTTTTCTCTGATTTCCTTCCTTCAAATTCTCCCTTCACATCTCAGTGATGTAAAAGAGCCAAGATAAGAAATAGCTGTCTCTTCCCAGGAGGAGACTGACGGATATGCAATTCAGAAGAACAATCCCTTTTTTCCTACTGCCTTCCTGGAATGGGGGATGATGGGGGTTGGAGGGGAAGTGAGAAGTAAGTTAACATCCCTTTTGCCAGCTGTGCCAGCTACTATTAGCAAAATAGACAGAGCAAAGCATGTCAGCATTGTACTGCTCTCCCCCTGAAAGAATAGAATTGTTAAAAAAAGATAAGATAGGGAACAGGGGTGACCAACAACTTGTATGTTTGGTCAATATACAAACCCAAACAGTGTAGTGTAGTGCATCCTATTGCTTTTAGCATCTGGCATAACTGTTGTCTTTGGTCATGTAAGTCATGTTTCGTCTAGATCCCCTGTTGCTAAAAAAGGATGACAGGGGAGTTAGTCTTACCACTATGGGGTAATAGTTACATTTGTTGTGGTTTTGTACAAAGACTGTCATATTGGGGTTTGGGTCTATAAGAGTTAAAGAAGTAAATTTGTGTGGAGGATGAGGGTTTTGCTATTGTGAAATTTTTAAGAGTAGCTTTTTTGCATGATTTTTATATTATTGCTGTGTCTTAATGAGGAAAACACAAGAACTAATGTTTTCTTAGTTACCTAAATATAATAAAAGCAGCAGAAGCAGAAAAAACTTTCTCACTTGCCTTGGGATCCTAGTTCACATTGTAGCAGGAATTCACAGCCAAGAACATCACATTTTCTTATGGTAATGAAGTTCTCCAATATGCAACAAAAGGCTGAGTTTCTGTAATTAAGTAATGCAATTGGATTTAGTGGGACAACTGAGTTCAGACCAACTGGCTATTTGCATTAGAAGATTTTTTTGAATTAATAAGAAGAAGCAGGGCACTGAAATGTTACAAGAATTTCTTGGAAATTTGTTACTATAGATACCCTTTCTCAGTGAATTGGAGAAGGGAATTCCATAAGAGGGCTTTATTATTACCATACTAAGATCTTAAAGGATTCTTTTCATCATGCCCATTTTTCCCAGTATCTTGCCTAGCTGCATCAGTGGTGACCTAAACTTCAAAATCTAGCTTGTGTATAATAAAGAAGCACAGGAACACTAGTAGGAACAAGCACTCTCCTAAGATACTAAAGCCAGTGTTCTTTGTAACAGTGGGCAGCAGGAATCAGTAATGCCACAAAATAGGAGTTAATGTTAGTGTGATTGTAATCTACTTTAGGGAGTTATCCAAATGATCTGGTGACCTAGTGTTGTACAGAGAGAAGGAAAGAACATGTGTATGCATAAGGAAGGTAATGGGTAGCACTCATAAAAGTCTGGGGAAACTGAAATATTATGCTTGGGTTATCAGAAATAAGAACAGCAGAATAAATGTTCTTAATGGACTGTGTGGACAGTTAGCACCATGAAAACTGAGAACTGTAGAGAAATTGTCCAACTGTGCTAAAAGATTGTACTTGAGCAGAGAAATTGAAATTGAAACGAAGTTAGCAGCTGATCTGGGATCTCTCGCTACTGAGAAGCAGTTGCCTGAGTGGCAGAAAAACTAGAAAAGCAAAGAAAAGAAGCCAGAAGAAAAACTATTATACTTCACAGCTGGAAAACGAATTACACTTGTGTGTGTGTGTAAGTACACACTAAGGAAATAAAGTGGATGAGGTTTGGAGTAAATGCCTCCAAGACTTGCTTTAGTAGCTTTCCAATTCAGTTAAACAGATTCCAGGATCTGACTAGGGAAACCCTCTTCTTACCTTTCAGGATACAAAAGGGAAGAGGTTACAAATTAAACAATATAATGAGAGAGTGGGAATTTTCTGGGGACCATTGCTTATCTCCATTAGATGGAGAAATGAGGCTCTAGTTATGCAGCTTGCAGATGCTGAACAAACAGTACTCAGCTCCTCAAATGTGTGCTTGGTGAGATCCATCTGTGTGACAACAGCTGTTGCTGATAAAGTGTGACAGGACTCAAAACCTAATTATTGATCCAGCATGTGTCAGTATTGCTGCTTTTTCATGAAAAAGACTTGCCTTTCAAAAATCAACTGGAATAATTTATTAAACACTGGGAAAAAAGAACAAAGAAGGAAGCATCTAGTGAAGAGGCAGCAATGAAACTGTTTTACCATGCTTTCAGCAGCTGAAGCATTGAAATATCTTTTAAGTGGTGAGAGATCTATTCTGCTAGGAGGGGAAATGTAGTAGGGTTCTTCCAGAAACTTACTGCATTTGAGATCTATCCTGCTCATTGAATATGGAGTAGATATTGACTTTTCCTTGATCATGGAAAAGAAAGACAAGACAAATATGTGATTTTTCTGTTATCTTCTGATGCCTGAAAATGAAGCTGTGGCTTTGTGGGGTAGAGCAAAGGGCCCCTGGAGAACACTCTTTATGGTGGTTGAGCCATACCTATGGTAATGATTCACTAGAGGTCTGATTCCTCAGGCTGCATGTGGAGAGTTCTTTTCCTCTACCAGGCTTTTAAGTTTAGCAGAGTCTTGCATCTTATGTCAGGGAAAAGCCATTGGGTTTTGTTTCAGAGAAAACAGACTTTTGTTTTAAGAAGGTGTTACTCCCCAGTCCAGAAGTATCAAGCTTTACTTGGTGTTACACTTTAATTTCGATCCTCAATAATTCCCACACAGAACTTTTTCAGAGTCTGAGTTCTTTGATACCTTGAGTTCACATCAGGAGAAAAGCTACATATTTTATCTAACTGATTTCTTTTAATTTAGTGAGAAAATAGGCTTTCTGGCAAAAAGGGTTTACAGAAGCAACATACAACCAAGAAAAATATTCCACAAAAGCATTACACTTAATAGCAGGCTCCTAGAAACAAACGGACTTCCCTTCCTCCCTCCAAACAGTATTCCGAGCTCTGCTTCTACACCCTTCCAAGGGTTTTATTGGCAACAGGCATTGCTGTGGAGTAGGGAACCTTCGTTGCACTTAGCAAACACCAACCCAAAACTTAAGTGAAATACCACAACTTAAGTGAAATACCATTCAATCAATTTTAAGTTTGCCACAAGAGGAAGAAAAGAGTAAAGGAAGAAAAGAGAGAAGAAGGAATAAAGAAAGAAAGAGAGGGAGAGAAATAATTACTGCCAAGAGGTCACAGGTTGGCTGGTCCGGAGACAGAAGGCCAAACTAAGATAAAGCCTATATGTGCACCTCTTTTATAGACTTTGTCTACTGTGGCCGTGCCCTCCAGGAGGGACATTGAGGTCACTGACCCCTCGCTGTCCCCCTGGCCAAAGTGAGGGGTGCCATAGCCAATCAGAGGCTCCAGGGGGCACAGTTTGGGCGGGCTACCAGGTGGGTGTCCCGCATGGTCCCTGTGCCATGTGCCTTCCGACCGTGGGTCCACGCTGGCCACAGGCCTTGCCCTGTGGACAGGCCTGGCCATGTGCCTGCAGGCCTCGGCCTAGCCCTTCCCCCCACACAACACACAGAGAAGATGGTTGATTCGACCCATCAATCAAACAACTCAGTGAGATACAAATCTGGTCTCTAACAGACCACTGCTATCTACTGAAAACATCAACAGTCTCATTAGTGGTCTCTAATTAGCAGATCTCTTCCAAACAGGGTCATGAGATACAATCACTGAAGTTTCAAGAAGGTAAGCAAGGAAATAAAGCTTGTGGGGGGTTATTATTTTTTTAGCAATATTATGTTCCTTGAACATGGGCATTATAGTCCTAGGTTATTTGCACACCATTTCTGTCAAAGTATTTGTAAGATCCAGGGACCCCTGGTGGCCTAGTGGTTAGCATGCAGGACTCTCACCGCTGCGACCCAGGTTCGATTCCCAGTCCCACGGGCAGATGGAGCTTGTTAGCCCTGTGAGGCCATCCATCTATGAGAAGGTCACTCTAAACAAACCTACGTCCTGAGGACCTCACTGCCATTGTCCAAGCTCGCTTGGCCCCGGCAGATGAACCTTAGGTTTAAAGGGTGGGCTCAGTTCAGCGCAGGCTGTGTCTCACCTAAAAAATCCCTTGCGCAGGCTTGAAAGGTAAAAGACTTTTCCCAAAATCTTCATTCGCGAAGACTGGCCATTATAATTATTTGTAAGATCCATTCTCGGGCTTTTGGCATTCTTTCTCAAAATCAGTATTTTGAACTAACATCACCTATGAGGAGTTCCACAAAAAGCTGCATATGGCAAAGCTGAATACACACATCCAGTCTTCTGCTAACCTCTGTCGGATTTCAAATTTAGGGCTATTGTTCCTGAGTTAGGTGGGGTGTACACAGTATACAAGAAACATATTCTGAATAAAGCGTCAGTTACCAGTTGCTAAGACCTTTGAGCTTGATGAGCGCTGCAGGGTTTGTTCCACCACTTCTAAGAGTCTAGCCCATATAATTTCTGATACAGTGAATTGTAGGTGTGCTCCTTACATTTTTCTTGTCTATTTTCTATTGTCTACTGCCAAGGCATGAGCATTTCTGGATTTTTGTACATCTGTTTGCCAAAAGACAATCATGTAGTGAAAAAGGATGCGGAAGAGAAGCCAAATAACATCCCTCAAGTCAGTTTAAAGAAACTTGATATTTGGTTGTTTATAATCTCAGTATGTTAGTTGTTTGTTCTGTGATAAGAGCATTTTTGGTGTGGAGACTGAGCCACAAGACTAATTGCAGCAATGCAGACAGTGTTTGTCTGTTATTTAGGGAAATGGACTGGAAGCCGGGAAGGTCCTGGGTCCTAGACCAAGCCGAACTAATGACTCATCATGTAACTATGGAAAAGTGCATTTAACTCAATTCTGCAACATTGCAGAAATCAGCCCAGCTGCCAAACTGAATCCAAGCAGGTTTTAAGTCTAAAGTCAGTGGCACATATAGGAAAGATGAATCCTTTTTTTTTCTGGGTAAATAAATGTAAATTCTGCATTATTGTCTCTTGAATCATTGTTTTATGGTATAGCTGTGGTAATATTCTTGTATAGTCAAAGGGATATTTTTAATGAAATGGAACCTCCCCCTCAAAAAAAAAACCTTTCCACTCCTTCCATGAAATTTATGGGGAAGCAGATATGACGGATGAAGAAACATCCGGTGAAAAAACTGTCATTTATTTTTTTAGGGTACAGGATATCTTAATTCAGCCATTCCAGGTTTCAGATTTTGTAATCTACAGATACAAGTACACTATATTGAGTTATAGATTTTTTTCCCCTGAGTAGATAAGTAATTAAAAGAGCTTTTTGGTAGAAGTAGGAATTGAAATATATCGGGTGAGTTTTATGAGTAGGAATTATAATGCTTCTTCTGTTTGAATTTTTTTGGTGGTCTTAACGTGCTTTGGGACATTAAAATAAAAAAAAGATCTTTTGCAGGTCCTTTCTTTTCTCATATAAGAAAACATATTAAGACATTTTCCTAATCAGAAGTATATGAGAAGAGATTATCACTGATAGTTGACTATCAGTTTTTATATCCACAAGAAAGAGATTGGTCTTTTACTGAATACTTTCTTCTATATTTTAGATTACCTTCCTTGACCCCATTGCAAATAGTAAAACTCTCACAGATACCTTCATATATTCCTGATATGTTAGATCCTCTACTGTACCTTCTTTATCTGCTGTACCTTTACCCAAGGCTTTTACCAGTGGCAACACTGATCAACTCAGAGCAGAGAGAAGGCAGCTTCAGGGAGGAGATTAAGTTTTGAAATCTAAAGTGAAAAGTGAAATGGGTCAGTAAGAAAGCTAGTTCTCATGGGCTTTTTCTTGACTGAAATAGAAAGGAAATGGTGGGTGTTGCATCTGACCAAGCAGTTAGCAGTAAACACTTCCATGACCAAATGCAGTTCTTTCTCCAGTTCATTGCAAATCTCTTGCCCATTCTTCTCACTTTTAAGGAAATACCAGTCCAGTCCCAAGAAGCAGTTCTGAAAAACTGCATAGCAAATTTCCACATTTGATATTTCCACTAGAGTCATTTGTCTAACAGCCAGCTCTGAAAACTGAGTCAGGGCTGTAAGCATTATACTGGACTGGACTTGCCCTTCAGCATGTATGATAAAAGCAGTATCAGTCAATCTGTGCTGTCACTGATAAACTGTGCAAATCCATTCCTTTCAAATCATGCTCTAAGGGGTAATTCCATACTTACAGTTCTTCATTATATTTCTAATTGCAATTTAAATTATTCTGCAGGAAGAACTTAAATTCAGCTCTCTTTATTTCTCTGCTATATTTGATTCTACAGGCACAAGATTAAAAAAGGCCATTAAAAACTGTCACCAACCTCATCCCTCCCAAGGGAAAAAAGAACCCTCCCAGGACCTCTGAAGTAGAACCAGGTCAGCAGGTTATGTCTGTAAACAGTTATCAGAGGAAAACAAAGTAACTAATTCAGTTGATAAAAGCAGTTCATACACAATCATTTTTAAGTAATTACAAAAAACATGAAACAAGAATAAAATTTCAATGGTTATGCTCACATTTTGGGAAACCATGGCACCATCACACTGCAGTGAACAAATATAGATATTGCAGCCATGCAAACAGCTGTACAACTGGTTTCTGTCAGTCCCTTCCTCACGAGCAGGGCTAGCAATTACATTGCTGCTCGTTCAAAAGCAAAAATCTTTCCTACATTTGCAGGCTGGTTTGTTCTTAGTGTAATAGGTGCAGACGACTTTTCAGAAATACTGGATGCCTATCTGAAGTATGATTTAGCAACTTTTAAGATTTACCAATCACTAAGAATAATATGTTCTTAAGTAAGTTTCCTGTGTCTGCCAATTTACGTAGGTGAGTAAACTAGACAGGTCAAATAACTGGCGTGGTTTATAAATAGAGTAAAAAAAATATCTCCATATATAGACTAGTATCCAGACTTTCTATTGTTTCAAGCAAATGATATCATTATTTGGATGTCTTTCCAGAACTGAAAATGACTAGACTTCAGAAACCAGAAGTAGTTAAATATAGAAATTGCTACTTTAATGAGTGGATGCTGTGTTCCATTATTATGCTACTAGTATGTGAACAAATGTCTTTCTGTTTTTAGGGATGGGAAAGGAGATTTTATTCCAGTAATATAAGATACTGGACAACAGACAAATTCAGATTGAGGATTGATAGTGTCTTTGACCTCATTCCTTTATGGAAAATATTCTTGATTCACTGTGCAGTATAACTGCACATATGAGGTGATAACACTGTCCACTAAATTGCACCTTGCATAAGCCTTGTGCAGATCAAATACAAAATGTGCACCAGTTTGCATAAATAAAATAATAGAATAAAAATTAAAAGAGAAACAATGTGTGACTTTCAGTGTCACAGATTCCCTGGCAAGTGATTACATCTACTTTGGCAAGTCAGAGGACTTTATTCATTGCTGATAACTAGAAAACACTACTTCTGACTCCTGTAGTACTGCTTTTTAAAACCACCCAAGTAGCTTTTGTGGAGATACGTTTAATTTCTAGGGATGGGTAGCTGGGAATAAGGACTCATGTTAAGGTATCCCAGCACTCTTGCTCTAAAGACCACCACCCTTTTAGATGAGGAATGCCATGTTAAATGTTAATAGAGAGTCTATTGTCTCATAAGAAAAGGTAATAAACTAAAATAATATGCATCTCTAAAAGCATGCATTTACAAAGATGGAATCAAGTTAACAAGATATCAAAACAAATTTTAATTTACCAATCCAGATTTTACTTTAGCTACTGCTGCGTCCTTTACCTTTCTCTCAGATTTAGCTAAAAACTCACCTTAATTTAGTCATTTACAAATTCACGAGGTGTCTGAGTTTTCATTATAATCAAGAAAGCCAGTGGGCTTGCCTTAACTAATACTAATAATTAACGTATGTACCTTTGCTTACCTTTATTTCCAGCTTCAAAGTGTGTCCTAGTTTTCTTGAAGTTACCAAGAGGGGGGCAGAGCACAGAGCCGTGTGAGCATGCCTAGGTTGCTATTCTATACCACCCACGTTCTCGCTGAGGAGCATGGCTTTGGGGGGAAGAAAAAGGAACACACAGTGGAAATGGTGCCATTTTGTTCCTCTTTCCCGTGGGAGAACAGAGCTCCAAGCGGTGAACACAGCTGAGCCGAAGGGAGCCAAGCCCAATGGACATCAGCTGAGCCAAGCCCAGCCAAATACTGCCAAACCCAGCCAAGTGTGTGCGCGGTGAGCACCAGTGCCAGAAAGAGCTGTGGTGGAGTGGAGCAGCCCAGATGATCTGGCTGGGAGGGGGGAGTCTCTGTCATTGGTTTTCATTGGCTTAGTCTTGGGGAAGGGTAAGCCATGTGTCACTGCCCGGCTGTGGTAACAGCCACCATCTTCTTCTTTGTCTCTGGAAGCTGCGTGTCACTGCCAGGCTGCAGTAACATCCACCATTTACTCCTTTGTCTTGGGAGGCCACATGGCACCAGCTCAGAAACATTCGCCATCTTGTCTTTGTCTCGGCAGCCATGCAGAACAGGGGCAGGGTGGTGAGCACTTTTCTGTGTGTAAATCACTCTCTCTTTTGTATAGTTCTGTTATTAATGTTGTTGCTGTTATTGTTCATTTCTTATCCCATTGCTGTTTCTGTTCAGTAAATTGTTATATCAACTCATTGTCTCTACCTTTGTCCCTCTCTCACCGGAAGAGGGCAGGCAGAAGGGGAGCAGGACAGCAAAGTCTTACTGGGCTTATATCTGTAGGGTTTTTTTCTGCAAGCAAACCCAATTCTGGCCTTGGTAAAACTGAGCAACACTTTTATTGTCCTTCTGTAATCACTGTGGGCCATAGGTATCAGTTAATGGCTGTGTAATATTTGCCCCTTTGTAAGATGTAAGAGCTATTTTTAAGCATGGCTGCACACTCTTCCAAGAGCTTAGTTTGCCTGCAGCATCACCTCTCTCTTTCTAGCACAAATTCAAGCCTTATCTGATGACTAAGACAAAATTTTTTATTTCTTTAGGCAGGTAAGTTACCTGTCTCAAATAGAGAAGTGCCAGATGACATTTTTCTTCCTTTTCTGGATGCAGTTTTGTTCTAGGAAAAGCCTTCTGCATCTTAACCATTTTTCATTAGCTCCTGAAAGCTGGAGCACTTTCATGCAGAGACCTGTGGCTGTTTTTTAAGATTCACTTTCCCATGGCATTACAGATTATTCAAAAATAAGGAGGAGTGATGTCTACTTCTTATTGTTTGACGTTGTAAAGTGCTTAACTGATTTTTTCCATCTTATATTCTAGTCTCTTTCTTAGGATAACATATA